TTTATGCTACAGGTATACAAGTGGAACAACAGCATTTAGGAAAAGAAGTACACAAGTATATATATATATATATATATATAAATGTAAATAATGGTGGAATCTCTCTATCAAAAAAGCCAAAGCATATGAACATGCATACATATCATGTCATGCAAAGAATTGTTGACAACTGTATAGCTCCTTCCAGCAGGTAATAACGTTAGGAGGTCCATAAGCTAAATGAATGGGCGCTAAGAAGCATAGTCCTAGTCCTAGCTTCACAATGACTTCCACCATGACTTACATGTCCTTGCTGATTTGAGGTATTCAGATTGAGCCAACCTTTTAAAAAACGTTTTAACTGCTTGTGTTGGCTTAACTTTGGGTTTTCGAATTAAAGCAAGTTCACTAACCACTAACTATTTTATTGTTCATATCATGAACATGCACAGTCAGGAGATTAAAAACTCTACAAAACTCACAGTTTGAGAAAAAACAGTGGCATGACCAGAAAACCAACTGTCCTTTGAACAAAATCTCAACTAACTTTTCCGGGGCCATGCACAGGAAAAGGATTATACTATCACAAACTTAAATATGTAGTGTTTCCTGGGCCCTATTGGGATGTGGGATTTTGACATTTTGGCTTTTTTATTTCAGTTAGCACCACTTTTAGGTTTGATGTAAAGAAAAAAAAAATAGATACATGAAAAAGCCCCTCATGGCTGCGGTTAAGAAAGGTAAAGGATCTGTGATGCTTAAACATTTTAAATAGATATTTGATGATAAATAAATGAATAAATAAAATAAATAAATAAATAAATAAATAAATATCCAAACTGATTCAAAGCTTGTATTCATGAAAAAAACAGTCCCCAAGCGTTTTTAGGAAATTGTGTAATTGTGTATAAACAGAGGAGATGAGGGATAATAGTACCAGGGTCTATGGTTTATCTAGCAGTGCTGTCTCTCTCTATGACCAACCACATTAAATCTCAACCCTCTATAATACTGAAAATAACTGTCTTGAAGCAAAGCGTTTTTTATTTAAATCATTTTAGTTTGTAGACTTTTCTCAAGAAATAAAATGTAGAATTTTTTACACACATTCTTTTACGATTTGCCAGCTTTGGAGGCTGTTGTAAGTAACCTTAAATTTTTGCTGCCTGTTTTTCCACATCGCCTTGTAAGATTAAACTGTTTAAAATCAGCAGAATATTTGTTCTTTAATCCTCAAAAACGTATTTTTCCATCTCTGTTCTCTGCAACTATTCACAGTTGAGAAAGTGATCCTGCTCAGTGATGCCAGTAGTCTAGATTTGGTGTCCTTCTGTGTTTTGTTGGCTGTGACAAAAGAGACACTGGAATCTGATTCAGGTAAAACAACTAGACTGAAGTGCTTTACATTGAAATTCAATATGAATTTCTTTTGCACCCGACTAGCATGCTCCTTTTTTTTGCCTGGATTCCAGCAAAGGTAACAACAATAATAAAGTGCAATAAAACATTACACTGGATTAAACATGTGATTTTTGCTGAAATCCCATCCCTACATATAGATAGACCAATGTTGCCCATAAGTAGCCTTTATGTCATGGTTTGAAAAAGGCAGTCATCACCCTGTGAGCCTCATCCTCATGTCGCTAATGGCTTTAATGGCCTGAACTTGAACAGCAGACCAGCCTTTTTGCTCAATCCTTCATTCTGAATAGAAGTCACTGAGTAATAGGTTAAATTGACATCTTTCTGTGCCTGTTCTGTTCTGGTCAGGCTAAAAGCAGCATCTCTTAAATCATAATCCAGCTCGATACTAAAATCAACACTAGCCCTCCTTACTCAGCCAATTTTCTCCTAGAAGGTAGCAGTGATAGCAGACATAGCTCATATACTGTCCCTTTACTAAAGGTAAACCTGAGGTCAAGATCAAGCAAGGTCACTCCTGCAGTTTTTTTTAAAGCTTTTTCTGCATTTAAACATCTTACTTGGACCTGTTTGTGAAAATCCCTTTATTACACCACCTTCATCTGGCCTATAAGAAAAATAAAGACATTTAATTTTAGCAAAAAATAACATTATAATAATTTAAAACATCTTTCATACCGGCAACTTAAGATTTTCATTAATTCCTGCTTCGCTTTTCAAATTTTGTAATTATTATTTGACTTACTGTAAGTATACACAGGTTAAATTATAGTTTTGATTTAGTTCTTTAGTTCTTGCTATATTATGCTTTTTTACAATTTGGTGTTTGCCAGGTGTTTTCTAGTTTATTTCTTTTTTGTTTTTACTATTTCAGTTATCTGATTTCATAATTACTTTCTGAGACTTCTGTTTCTCAGAATGCTTTGATAAAACTGGTAGATATGCATAAAAAAAGAACTAAAATACACTCATTGAAATAAGGTTTCACTAATGATTTTAAGTCTGCATATCTGTAACAGCTTCTCACTTGTGGTGCCTTTCTGCAAAGCATTTGACTCTATAGTATTGTTTTTCCCTTATATATCTAAAATTCTAAGCATTTTTCAGATGACCGTCTGCTGAAAATGAAGATGATTTAACAGTTTAACCCCTTGTGGTCTCTCAACCACTAATTAAAAACACTGCAGTTAGAAAGCATCTACTGAAAATTTATAAACAGCTAATGATTAGAAAAAGAAATAGGACAGCCATAATATATTCTTATTTAGCTTCACCAAGTGTAGAAATCTTGACTATTCAACACAAAGCAACACTGGATAATTTCCATTGCTAATCCAGAGAGCTAATTAGAACAGAAAATATAAGTGGTCCACATTCTGCAACCTTCAGATGTGTCTATGAATAAACACACTGATGCCTGCTGGCCAACTTTGCATGGATCTGTGAGCTCTGATTGGCTGGTTGGCTACATGGAGTCATCTGGCTGTGCATCTCCTGTCTGAGCTGTTCAAGGCGAACGTCACATTACCGCCAGTGAGAATCAGTGAAAACTGGGTCAGAGAAGGCATGGTTATACAGATAATATCCATTTATGAGATTTCCTTTTAAGATTTCACAAGAATTATTAAATAAATCCTTCATATAAATGTATAAAAATATGAATTTGAACTGTGTTCTTCAGAGTGATATGAAACCATACAGCACTACTGCATTTGTAGAGCCCTGGTTGCTTGGTGGCTGAACAATCAATCAATCAATCAATCAATCAATCAATCAATCAATCAATCAATCAATCAATCAATCAATCAATCAACTTTATTGTCATTGGGTTGGAGGGGGGCTGAGAAGGAGAACGGTTTACTGAGTTTAGATCAATGGTAACTAATTTTGGAGGAACTATTAACTCCAAGGATGAGCAGTAAAATAGGTTAAACTGTTGTGCGTTCACTGTAGGTCAATTCATCAACTCTCCTCCTACTGACTCTCTTGCATGGAGCCAGCATGTCCTCCAGAAAAAAGTATCAAAGTAATTTCTACTTAACTTTATCAGAAGTTATTGAAAATATCAAGGAACTTTTAATTATTGATCATTGACTCTGTGTTTCCCTGGGGCATATATAGGATGTGGCACAAAAGCCTGTATCTTTTAGAAACTGTCAAATCAATGTGTTGATGCAGATGTGTTGTCAGTCAGAGAAATGCTATAATAGCGCCCATCTTCAGTCGAAGAAAAAATAGTAAACTAGTTTTTGTGGGAGGGAAGGAAAGAAAATGCCCTTTATGTTCTGAGATGTGAATATGTAGTCTGTAAATAAATGTTATAAGGACTTAAACTGGAAATGTGAACTTTGATCTGATGAAACAAAGATCAATTATTTTAGCAACAAGATACCCAGGTGGGTTGGACAAAAAAAAAAAAGATATATGTGTGTAAACAGAAAAATATTCTACCTGTGTTAATGTGGAGGAGCTGTAATGCTGTGGGCTTGTTTCTCTTGATTTGTCTTTCATAAATCATTTAAACCTTTTAAGAGTTCATGGCATCATCATCATAAAAAAAAATGTATTGAGAATATTCTTCTCTGAAGAAGAGAACTGAAAGTTGTTTTAAAAAAACTGAATTAATTCCACAAATAAAGAAAAAAGGTACAAAATCGTCTCCCTAACTGAGAAACAAATGTTCTTAGATCTGTCGTGAGGCCGCAGAGTTTAAAGCATACTAAACCAAAACTGAAAAGACACACCTCTTTCAATTTTGGTTCTCCTGTTCAAATAACAAACTAACCACACATTGTTTGGCATTTCTGGTTGTAATGTTGGGTTATTTGTACTTATTATTGTTTTGGCTTTCAATTTTATACATTTTAATTGAGTTTATAATTAAAAGTTGTCAATGATGCCTGAGGGACAACAGAAAAAAAACCCAACACTGGTCAGATTTTCAGAAACAATAATATCTAAGAGCATCTGATTATTCCACTCCATAATGTTAAATGACTAACAAACATAAAAATATTTCCTTCAGTTAGTATCCAGCTGAAGGTCACGATCCTTTCAGCTTCTCCATGACCACAGCGGCATACAAACTCTCGCAGAAAGTTGAAAGTCAGTGGTTATAAAAACCTTGCTTTAAACATCGGCCAGTTATACAAGAACACCCACGCTGCAGAGGGCAGAGCTACTCTCTGCTTTCTAAAATAAAAAAAGGCTGATTTAAAAAAAATCCTGAAAAGAGGAACAGGAAACAAATAGCAACAAATAGCAAACAGAATTATTTATTAGAAAAATTCACCTTCATGCAAATATTAACAGAAATACGACCAGCAGCACCTCAAATTACTCATGTTTTTCATCCTGCTAAAAAAAGTGAAGCAATATTCATGAGTCTATTCAAGCACATAGGGATGAACCCCACCTACACAGCTGAGGAGATCCCTCTGGGCCAGCATTCAAGCATCACTTTTACCCTTTTATTCACCCAAACAACAACTTCAAGTCACAAACCAACCATGACCTTAGCGTACAGACCGAGCAGCTGCAGCAGCCCACTAGCAAACTTGTTTTCCAACACTTCCCAGCTGACCCCATGGTTCTCCTACCGTCTTCATAGAAGACATCCTCTGCTTCTTCCCGCATCATCTCATCCAGGTCATCCTCTGGAATGTCGGTCACAGCCATCAGTATTCCTCTCCGTCCGACTTCCTCGGGTAGGGTCAGAAGAGAGCGTCTGGGCTGTAAAAGGGAAACAACGGTGGCCCGGGGCCTCTTCGCTCCGATCCACCGACAGGCTCCTCACGCAAGCAGGGAAAGGACTGGGAGTGAGCTGAGCGAGCTTCAGCTGTCTCTTCACACAGCAATCTGTGTGTGTGTGTCAGGTGAAGAGTGGGTGGGTGGCTTCAAGAGAGGACACCCAGCAACCTTCACTAAGTTTCTGCAATAGTGCCGATTTCATAACATCCTGTGCAAAAGCTGAAGTGAGAGTGTGCTGTTTGGAGAGCACTTGTTTGAGTTAGTATGCGCATGTGTGTGTTTGTGAGAGGAGCATCAGTGGTGCGTGTGTGTGTGTGTGTGCGTCCATATCTACCATACAGCTCTCCACAATGAGTCAGCTCGAGTGTTCGGTGATCAACAGGAATAATTAGATGACGTGTTTTGAGCCAACACAAACATGAGAAGGTGTGAAAGTGTGTGTTTAACACGGCGTGAGAGATAAGAGGCGAGGTCTGCCGGCCATTCTTTCACAGCCCAACAGGACCCAGGGGATAACACTGACTGCTCGCTCTAGTTTTCATTTTGCCCACTTGAAGGGGGCTCCTGCAGTGCTGGTCTGCTGTCAGTGAAGGTTTCCCTAGAGCTGACTAGAGTACAATTTAAATCCAGCAGATTGCTTATAAATTATGGTAAACAAAAGATCCTCAAATGCTACCGCGATAGTATTCGTACCATTATTACCTCAAGCTCTGCAATTAAAATTGCAGCAGTAAGTGTACAGTAGGTAAAGCTCAGTATTATTATCCATGAACATATCTGGCTGTGGAATCTTTCAAAAATGTAAAGTTTAAATAACTCCTGAGGCACCCCTTATTAATCCTTCAGTTGCCATTTCTGAGTGAATGTGAATATAGATTATTTTTTATTATATTTACATACATTTAAAAAAAGGGTAGACTCAATTATCTTCCTCCTTTTTGCAAAATACTCTTTTCCCTTAGATTCTATCCTGTTTCCCTGACTCACCCGATTTAGCCAAACCAATCTGAAAAACTGAAAATAGAAACTAGGCCTCATGTCACTTCATTATCACATTTCCTTCAGACCTGCCCTGCTCTGTCACTGCTTCCCTTTAAGGCTGAAGCTCCTGGGAACAAACCGGGCAGAAAAGTCATTTTCCAAGGAAAGGGTACTGATAATGTTCGCTCTTCAAGACAATCCACAGGTTGTTTCCAAAACTAATGTGAGGTTGTTGTTGACAAAGTATTTTGTTTATATTAAAAATTATGTGTTTTTTTCACAAAGGGTTATTAATAAAACTTACTGTTAAACTACCTAAACCGCAAATCAAATTAGTTTTATAGTTTTATAACAAAAGCACAAGCAAAACTCTGCTCATCTAACTGAAACTTCTCAATGCTGCAAGGATTTCACACGTGTTGCTGCAGTAAAAGCTGGTTTAAGCATAAGCACAAGCATACCAGGAAATGGTTTCAAACATTTAATCTAAATTTAAATTTCAGATGTTTTAGATAAGCAGATTAATTAGGAATCACTACAAGTCTTCTCCTGAAATATTTTAGGGTAAACATATTGATGATGTTTGGCTAAACCACCCTTAAATTGAGGTTGTTCGATTCGTTTGGCACCATTAGTTATACTCAGCTACAAAAATGTCTTTGCTGGTTAATAATCTAGTTGACTGAATTGATCTAATTTCAGTTCAAGTTTAATGTGTTTTCAGAGACATTCTGTAGGTTTTTACTGAGACATATCTTCCGCGCAGCTTTTTTTATTTGACTAAAACATTGCTTGATGAGTAGACTGGCGCCTCAGTAGTTCATCGCAAAGGTAGTTCCTCATTTAATTTAGGATAAGAAGTTCCCTCGTTGTTGATGTGGATGTCACATCAGGCAAGTCCATGTTAAATAGGTCCAATCAAGTAAACAATTGAAGTGTTATCTATATTCAATAAGGATTTGGAGGATACTAAATGCGACCGGCATCCAGCTATTTTCAAACACCAATTGCAACTCCAAGTAAGGTGAAAATAGAAACAACACCTTGTACGAGCATGAGCTATATCTTTCAGCAACCCTCCACTTTCTGAGCAGTAGCCCCTCCCTCACCTGTAAAAGCAAGTGGAAGGAGAATGTCTATTAAGCCGCTAACAATCCTCATTTGGTTTTCTTCCCATTGGCAAAAAAAAAGAGCTTGGACTGACCCCCCACTGGCAAGCTGCTTGGCCTCTATCCTCCGCTTGCTGCGTGTCTCGTGTCATTAAACTGGGTTAGCGGTGATGATGTCATCAATGTGACAAAAATCAGGTAAGTAAACAATGGAGAGCAACATGAAAGGAAGCCAAGGTGTAGCAAGTGTTCTTTATAGTTTCACTTTTATCTGACTGAACTGCTCTTATCAGTGCTGTGTCATGTTTATTGAATCTATGCAGAGTTATTTTGGCTTTTTAGATCAGACATGACTGGCATAGTGTGTCGACATCCATATGTTGACAATTATGTAAATTGACCCGAGTCTTATATTCCCACTGTATGTCAATTGGGGTTGAGCTGTTTAAAGTCGTTTGACTCAGGTCAACAAGGGTCATTAAGCAGTTCCGACTGCCACTACAAAACGGTTGTTCCCGGGTTTAAACAGGTTTTTAGGCCAGAGGGAACAGGGTATTAGAACCTTAACTGGGCTGTGCTGGCACTGTAAACAAACACACAGATTCTCCAATCAGGGAGGGAAGTCTAGTGAAAAGTCTCTGACCGTGTTAAGGCTTCACCACAGGTCTGCAACAGCGATCTCAAAGAGGAGGGAGGGAAGTATTTTTCTTCTGGATTGGCAGTAAAAGAAATATATTTCTTAATAATATCCATGTACCTCTGAAAGCATATTTAATCATATGTTTGTCTAAAGGTGACTTTGAAATGGTCAAAATACGTATGATATAGAGCCTTTAACCCTTTAAAGCCCGATCCAAGAATAAACAAAACAGAAAATTACTTTTTTTTGGTTTGAAGTCCTTATTTGGCCTTTTAACAAAATATGTAAAAAGAAAAAACAGAAATACTTTTTTGATATTAATAATTTATTACTATGCGATAAGTCAAGACTCTTTTTTTGTGTAGTCTTCTGCCCTGACTGTGTACAATAGGATTTTGAGCAAAGTTTTTACCATTAAAATATACAAAAGGTGTCAGACGCAAAACATTTCAGAAACCGTATGTATCAAATACAATACATTTGGCATTATAGGGTTAAGATACAACCACAAAACACAGAGTATCCTATCAGCATCTTTCCAGATAGACTTAATTATCTTAACATATCTTTAAATCCAGTTTGATCACTTGTATAAGTATTACAAAGATTCAACCTTTGAATAATTTAATCTCTTTATACATGCAGTTGTCCTCTGAAAGACTACGAGGTTTGTTGACGAGCATTAGAGGAAAAATAACACAAAAATATATAAGACCAAGGAACAAAAACAGACTATTATGGTGGAGAAGTTTAAAGCAGGGTTAGGCTACAAAATATCCAAGCCAAAGGAAATCTCAGTATGTTCAGTCCATTGTTCAAAAGCTGAAGGAGTATGATAAAAATACTCCACAACAATACACAACACGGCATGAAAGTCCACCTACTGTACACTGACAGGATCCTGGAGAAAAGAAACCATCAGAGAAGCACCTTTTAACAGTAAAATTGTTAATTGTTCACTTCAAAAATGGCAAGTATGGAAATGTATTTTAAGAAAACCACAAAACCTGTACTTAGCACACACTGTTCTCTAGACAAATGAGACCAAAATTAAACGTTTTGGCCTTTGCAAAACACTCTGTTCTGTTCCATGTTCAGACATGGCTGGTGGTAAATTCAGGGAAACAGGAGAAGGAACCCTGTAAAAAGCTGCAAAAGCAGGTTTTCAGCCTTTGGCGGCGGTATACTGGACAAGGGAAAGATGTTCTGTAGGATTTATACAGACATAATAACACACACACGCTGTAAAGGCATGACGGGAATAATGTCACCTGGTGACAGCATCAACCTTTCCTGCAGACATGGTTCAAGGAGGAAGAATCACAGATTTTGCAAGCAAAAAAACAACAACACACAATGACACAAGCACAGCAACACCTGCTGTCTTCTGCAGCTTCATCCCACTTCCATCTGTTCTCTCCTATAACCATCTCGTGTCCTGGTGATTAAATCATGACTCATCACACAAAACATTTTTAAGCTTTATCCCACAGTAAACCGATACAACAAAATCGGAGCCCTTGCATAGATTACACTATACATATTTTCTGTTTTTATTGCGTCTGCTAACTTTTTTTGTCCAGTGCAAAGTCAAGTTTTTCTGGCTGTAATTCGGTGACTGCAAATCACCAAACTAAAAAAAAAACAGCTTTGGGAAATGCATCCTTGCTGAGATCCAGAGTCAGACAGCATTACATTAAAACACAACAGAGTCAGTTGTAGACATCCGCTTGGCACTTATACATGCATGCAAAGAGAAGCACAATCAGATCTGCTTGGTACAATAGCGTTGTTTGAATGAGGTCAAACAATGTATCTCTTTAGCATCTGCAACAAGCCAGATGATGAGTATCCCAGGAATGAATAGGCGGCTTCAGCCTCCTACACAGTGCCCCCTCTGGTCCTGAATAAATGCATCAACATGCATGTTACTGTGGACTGAAATATCAGTCATTAAAATTGGAGGTGTAATGTACTCTACCAAGCAGGCTAATGGTGTTTGGTTCACTTTAAAACATGCAGCCTCTTCCTTTCAATGCCTTCAAGATAAAAAAAAAAAAAAACGAGTTATATTTTATGTTAATGCTAAATGTATGCATTTGTTACATGTGTGCATGTTTTTTTTAATAATAACTTTTTCATCATTTTCCCCTCTACAGCTTTCACTTCATTACATTTTTACATTTCTAGATACAAAAAAGCTTTAAGCAGAAAACCTGCATGAGGTTACAGTTCATGGATCTGTTGCATTAAAGCCTTCAAAAACATTCTAGGAATTTGTTTTGGACACTACATGACAGCAAAGTGTAAGTTTGCATGCCTGTGTGCTTCGACTTGCTCAGTGACAGACGAGATCTTTCCAGGTTCTGTCC